CTCTATCTTGTTTTCTTTGAATGTGAAACGTGACAAAGAATGATAATGGTGTTTTTAACAAATTTGATTAATCATACTTGAGGACAAACATGAGATAAGTGAGGGGGAATTTGATGAGTGTTTAAAATCGTTAATCTTTGCTCGTTATTTCTTCAATTTTGTGGAATTATTGCCGCTGAAATGGTTGTGTTATACTTGTTTTTGTACATGTCCTTGCTTTTCAGAATTTGTGACAAAATGGGCAAATTCTGCATTTTTTTTTATTATTTGGTCACGGATGGAGACATAGGCACGACGCGGTCTGACGTGTCGGTTTCTAGAAGGTCCAGTCAACGACGGCTTCTAGAAGACTTTCTCCGCACGACTTCTAGAAGATTAACGAGCAGAGTTACAATAGGAGACTAGTTTAAGTTTGAATTTAAATTAAAAAAACAATTATCTTTAGGATTATTTTATTTGTTTTCTTTGTTTATCCTTTAGGCTTTGAGAGGCTATCAATACCCACTTGGGGTAAGCCTAAACTCATCATTCGGATTATAATCTTCTTTTCTCTCTAGTTTTTATAAAATCTTTCTCTTTTTACTTTTCAAGTTCTTTTAATTTTTCTTTTATTTTCCAAGCTTTGTTTTCAAATGCTAAGTATACTTTTGTCATGCTTAGCTAAACTTTTCATAAGCCAAAAGTTATCGCGATGACTCAATTTCATCGGAAGAATTGAAATAGGCCCTTAATATCTTTGGAATATCTCTCTCAATCTCTGCACTTATTTTTCAAAATCAAAACAGTTCAAAGATTGACTTTGGTCAAGAGGTTGTTGCGATTAAACGTGTGGGAACACACTTGGTGAGATGGCTTCGCCAAGAGGGAATTGAGATCGGAATTGACGGTTATTGAAGCAACAATCCGAGTCGGACGCCATGAACTTAAACGGTAATTGATCTGCGACAATTGATGTTGTTAGAATTCATTACCGAAGTCGGAATCAAAGATTGCCTTGGATATTCGGTATACAAGATAGAGTCACGGGGATAGCCCTTGTAGACAAAGTAACCGACGTGAATCCCGGAGGGAAAATCTTATTCGATGATCTAAAGGAAATTGAATCAAAGCAAGGCTTAAGACTATTTTTACAGTATTTATTCACAATCTCTATCATCTTATTTTTACTTTAATTGCTTTTATTTTATTTAATCATTTTTATTACTATTTAAATCTCATACTACAAACCCCTTTTTCTATTCACGTCTGGCTAGAACCATTCAAACATAAATTTGTGATTTTCTAAGTCCTTGAAGATTCGACCCTTATTTCTCTATACTACGCATTTCTTTATTGATTAATTGAGAAAAAGGAATTATTTGACATCCAAAATGACAGTTGTCATAGCGTTGGTGAAATAAAGGTTTGCCCGATGAAATAGAGGGTTGTAATACAATGTCTCGGGTTTTGAAAGAGGAAACCGAGAAGAAAGATTATGCTATCGGTCTTACTCTTCCGGACATTAAGAGTGAGATATACGGTACAGATGTGTAACATCCTCCATACCGGGTTAGTGATTAAATTGTGAAATTTTAAAATTTAGTGATCAAAGTTGATAAATTGAAAGTTGAAGGAATTGATTGAAATATTTGGTGTAGGATCAATTAGCAAAGCATGGGGAACTAAAGGGGCAAATGAGTCTTTTGACAAGGAAAATAATTAAATGTTTCTTAAGGATATTTAATAAACCACGTGGAAAGCTAATGAGAGAAACAAGGTTCTGGATATTTTTTTATTCTTCATTCTTCTTCTCTCTGCCGTGAAAACAAAACTAAAGGTAAGTTTTCTTATTGATCAAATTCTTGATGAATTTAAGGTTTCTTATTGATCCTTAGATAATAACTAAGCTTAAGGAAAGCTTAGATTATCTTAAAACCATAAAATGATGAGTATATGAAGAATCAAAGAAAGGAAGTAGAAAAGTGAAATCTTGGATTAGAGCTCATAATAAGAATTAGAAGTGGGATTTGACTTGTCATAAAGCTAACTAAGAAGTATGAAGTGTTAGAATTCAAATTAGAACATGTTGGAATTTGGGTTAGATTCTTAAACTCTACATGGAGAATGAGATTTCTAAGTTTTAAAAGTATGGAATGGATAATAATTAGTTTAAGTAAGAGTATGCAAATTAAGGATATAAAAAGAGGGGAAATATAAAGTGTTAAGTAGACTAAGAAGAGATTTTCGTGCTAAAATGACAATTCTGGGTAATGTGCATCGATGCACATTCTTTGTGCATTGATGCATCAAGGATAAATCCCATAAATTGTTCAAGGTGTACCGATGTACATGAAGTGCATCGATGCACTCTTTTAAAATACAAACATCAAATGCCATCAACGCATCGATGCATAAGGAGTGCATCGATGTACCCCATTAAATACAAACATCGAATAGGATTTATGCATCGATGCATACCTCCATTAAAAGATGAAAATAGCTTTTCTTTTAGCATAAGAAATGATAGTTTAGAATATACTAATTAATATACTGATAAGTATCAATGAATTACTATGTAGATATCGAGCCTAAACGAGTTCTAGAACAATCGACAAGTAGGATTGATTGAGGGAAAGACAAAGAAATCTAGGTGAGTGCATATGCATAGCATGAATATGTATTTTATTCAGTTCTAGACTTGTGATAAGTCTAGATTCAATATTTTGATACATGATCGCATTTCATATTATGATACATGACATGAATTCATACCATATGCATTATGTGACATGAATATACAAGAAAAAGTTATATGTCTATGTGATAAAGGTATGAAAATAATATGTCTACGTGATACAAATTATGTGAATTGTGAAAGCCCATGTTATGTAGATGAGAACTATAGGTATAGTTGGCATGCCAAGGGTAGAGGGTATACGCGGTCCTTCGATATATATATATATATATTCTTTGGAACATGTGTGAAGTCTTGTGAGACACATACTTGATCCCTAGTATATGTATATGATTCTTAAGGAATGATATGTGGTCTTTATGGACATTATTATATGGCACTCCGGTGTAATTCTACGTGGCACTTCGGTGCAATTATACGAGTTGTGGTGACAGTATAGTGCACAACCTCACAATACTCACATACCTTAGGTTCTCAGTATGGTACCATGGGTTAATGAAATTAATAAGGTGAACTTATGAATGTGAATTTGATAAGTATATGTGTAGGAAACATGGTTATGGTTATTGCATTGTTTACATACATCTTACCATTGCAACCCATCTCATTTTGGCAATTCCTTTATATTTTATTGTTATTATTATAATGTCTCACTAAGTTGATGACTTAGCGTGTGAGTGTTTCACACGTAGGATCCGATAAAGTAGACGATCGAGGTTAAGTAGCAGAACAACATTACTCCTACAACTATCAGATCAGAAGCAACTTAATCAGTTGGTCATTTTGTTATGTAAATGGATGTTGGCATGTAACTAAAGGGTTAAGTTGTGTATGCTCTGAGTATTTTGATAAACTTGTATTAATATATGCATATTATTGTATTTTAATAAAATAAGTTCAAATGTTTTATCGGTTTTTTTTAAGTATTGTTTTGTTTAGTCAAGGTGACATCCTGGACTCGTATCCGGTCGGATATGAGTTGAGGGTGTTACAAGATGAGTTTAGGATGTATAATTTCAAGGTCACACCTTGCTCAAGGCTTACTCTCATGACTGGACCGATTGTCCTTTTTTTTATCCCGGAGAGAATGCGAGGAGACGTAATCCTGGGAAATACCTTTACATTTGTGTTGCTTGCCCTGAATTTCGTAAGGTATCATGCAAGCAGGGTGATAACTGAGAGTATGCACATGGTATCTTTGAGTGTTGGCTTCATCCTGCACAGTATCGAACTCGTTTATGCAAGGACGAGAGTAATTGTAAAAGGAGGGTTTGTTTCTTTGCTCGCAAGCCTGAAGAGCTTCGTCTCGTGTATGCTTCAACAGGTTCGGCAATGCCTTCCCCAAGATCGAGCCCACATGGTCTTTGGCTCCCCATCTGTTTTGTTACCCCCAACATCAACGCCACCGTTCCCCTACAGATACATCTTCTTCTAATGTTGGAATGATGTGGCCTAGCCAATCTAACATCGTACCGCCCTTACAGCTTCATGGTAGTAGGCTTAAAAGTGCTCGAAATATATGGACTTGAACATGGAGCAACTCGGACTGGAAAGTCATCGTCGCCACCAAACTCAGCAGCTAATTGATGACATACCTGGTCTTTCCTCTACCATCAACTGGAACAATCCCTTGTCCACTACTTCGACCTTTTCTGCTGCTGCAGATGGAACTAGTGAATTAAATAGGTTTGGATGAATCTCACTCGACACTTCAACTCATCAGTTGCAGTCTTCCACTGGAGTCAGCTACCCGACTAACCTAGCATCCTCCCCCATCAGAGAATCTCAATCCTTTGGGATTGACCCATCTAGGCCAACTGCAGCTACAACTTTAAGTCCAAGGCTAACTACTTTTGCAAAACGGAGCTTGAGCTTTATGGAACATACTCCGGCAAACCACCATTCAGGATTTTCTTCACCGAGTGCCCTTGCCTTCTAGCCTTTTGGATTGGGGTTCGCTCGATGGAAAACTAGTTTGGGGTGTACGGGGAGAAGAGCTAAATAAACTAACAAAATTTTCGTCTCTTGCGTTCCAAAGCAATGGCAGCAATATGGGAGATCCAACACAGTCAATATCCTGGGTCCAGTCTTTGGTGAAGGACACCCCTTCCGAGCAATTCAGTTTTGAGGACGAGTAGCAACAGCAACAAAAATCTCATCTTAGCATCGGCGATTCGGCAACGTTCCCGGCCTGGGTGGAGGAATATTATATGGAACAGGAGCAGATGGTGGCATAAAAGCAAAGCTAACAACAGGTGAGGAGAACAAATTCAAACAGTCACGAATTTACATCATGAATTTTGAATATGAATCGTAAAATAAACATAGGAAACATTAATTACCTTGCCACGTTACCAAGGAAGTTTCCGCTCATATCCATGGTGATGAAGGTAAGTGACAACATCCAGCCATGCCACAAAAATCTATGGAAATAGGTAACATCATGTTAAATTTCTCGTTATCAGAGAAATTCTGCATTTTTTTATTTTTATTTTTTTTGTAAAACTTGGGGCATATCAAGTAGGGAACACCGTAGAGCTTGAATGTCAGGGATGAACCAAACACAAATGAGAAATAGACAAGGAAACCGACCATTGCAATCCAACAGGCTGTTGAAGTGGTTACATGTTTCCTGTCTTGGGGAGAAAACAGTGTGCTGGATGGGTTGAAGTGAGATCCTGTCTTCCCTGGACTTCTATGCCACTGTAATAATGCACCAAATTAATCAATATAATTAGTTCATTTTGATTGTAAGACTAGTGTTAAACACTTTTGCAAATACAAGGTTCCCCACCAAACACGTAGGGTATGCAAATAGGGGAAAGGGGATAGTGAATCTCATAAGTCTTGTTTCAATGCTCAAACTCTTGTAAAGCTTCTCAGGCATCTGAGAATTAAGAAAGAAAAAAGTGCCATGGTCAGTCAATCCGAGGATCGAATCTTAAAGATGACTGTATGAATTAACTGAATTCACGATCGGTTTTTATCGATATATTACCGGAACCCAAGACTCGTCCTTCTCGACATTTCCATGGTTTTGATGATGAGTTTTATGACTTATTCTCCTACAAAATTTCCAAATGATTTTTGTGAAATTGCATATATATACACTATACGTAACGAACAGATGTGAAATCTAATTAACGAGCGAACGTACCATCCATGGTAACGAACGAGGATTGTCGAATGTAAGATATGTCCCACCACATCATTTAGAATGGGATCATGAGAAAAGCTTTCATGGCCACTGCAAGATCAAAAACTACTCGAATTTAATCAATTAACCGATACCAACAAAATCTGAAACCCATAACTGAAAATGGATGTAGGATTAGTACCAATCGTGTCCGAGGACAAACAGAGCCCAAAACATTTTTCCTTGAGCAACCCAGTAGAGAGGCCGAATGAACCAGCTGTTTAAGTAAGCCGCAGCTGCTAATAATGCAAAGACGGCAATGACATCCCTGAAGACATAACTCATTGACCTCCATGGATTCTTGATCCAACAGTGCTTTGGGATTACAGCACGGATATCAGCAATACGAAATGGAGGGGCTGCACTTGCATCAAAATCATCTTTGTTCTCCATTGATGTGTCCTTTATTGAAGGACATAATTCTGAATAAAATCCCTGTTTATCTCTCTCTCTGCAAATAAAAAATTCAGACGTAAATTATAGGACACAAAAATTTAGGGGGAAAAAGAAGGAAAAAGGAGTAAAGGGTGTTGAAAAGAATCATTAATGTATTCCAAACATTCAGACAAATACTTTTCAATGTTTGTTCTCTTTTTCGTAATTAGCAAAAACCAACAATTGAGGAACTGAATGTATATTGCTGTTATTGTAATGGTCTTCCGAAAAATTAAGAGTTTCGAGCTAGTATATATAATGGAAATTTGTGTTGGGATGAAAGCCCTCTCTCCATCCTAGTAAATCAAATATAAACCTTTGTATTTTAAGTCCTACAGATATACTTGTTCGAACCCAAAACATTAAAAAATAACAACACTTATCACTCAATATATTTATCATCTATTTATTTTAATGATTTTTCAATGAAATATATTTTTCATTAAAAACAAATAGGTTAAAGTAGAAATCAAAATTAAAAGCAATAAAAAAAACCCGATAAAAAGAGATGAAATGGGAGTTTTCAGTGCAACCAAAACCTCAACATTTGATTGATTAGTTCTATTACAACTATAACTAAAGGAACGACTTACTCCATGGTTAGTCGTTACCTTAAAGGAAACAATGAAATTGAAAAAATTTAAAAGCTATAGGGTTATGGCTCCTTACTTGTTTTAAGACACATTTCCTTGGCTAAGCTTCAATTTAGGCTTTTATAATCATCCTTTTAAATTCACAGATTCTCCTCAATTTTTTCTCCATTAACTATGCATTTTGCCTGAAATTTTCTTTCCTTTTATTAGTCAAGTAAATATATTAAAATTTTACTAACGGGGTTGATTCAAGTGGTAAGTAACTTGATATCATTTAAGTAGGTTTTGAGTTTGAGATCTTCTATATGCATAAAATCTTCGCTAAAAGACTAACCTACCAAAACTACATGTGTGACAGGAATCGATTCAGATTAGTCAGGGTGAAACCCTGAAACCGAGAATACAACCAATAAATATATTAAAATTTCAATTACTTTTGCATTGAAAAAAATATTTGTAACACCTAATTCTTCATAATTTTTTTATCCTTGTACTATAAAATTAAGCAATGATTGTGTTGAACCATATTTTATAATATTTTGATATAACAAATTAAGGTAAAATGTTTTTGGACTTGATTGAATTTGTTCAAAGTTTTCAAAAGTTTTCAAAAGTTTTCAAAAATAATTCAAAGTCTATTAAAATAGAATTTGAGCACAAAATGCTTTTCTGGGTAAATAGGTATCGATATTGTTCTTACGGTATTGATACTGCATGAACAATACCGATATTGTTCACGTGGTACCGATACCAAAAATAAGAGAAGTATCGATACTCTAAAGGTAGTATCGATACTACCAGTTGTTTTCCGAATTGTTCAAATTCCAGAATGCAAAATAGGTACTGATACTCAAAGGAGTACTGATACTACTTTATAAGTAGTATCGATACCATGAGCATAGTATTGATACTGGTCAAGCCCAACGGCTAGTAACAGCTAATTGATTTAAAAATTATAAAGGAACTACCGGTACTCATTAAAGGAGTATCGATACTCCCTGTCCTGGGCCGTTTTATTTTACAGAAAAATTAATCCCCAACGGCTAGAAATGACCACAAACACATTCCAACTTATAAAAACAAGTTGATAACACTTGAAGAAGGTAACTAACACCTATCCAAGCATTCGTACACAAAAGAAAAGTTTTTCAATCCTTAATTTTCTTTCTCTTGTAAATATTTGTGTGTGAGCTTAATTGTATATCTTTAGGTCTTGTTTTTGTGAGCTTAAATCTTTGTAAACACATCATTTTTAGAGGTTTTTCTTGTTTACATATTTTACCTTTGTAAAAGAGGATTTGTTCTAACTTAGCCTGTGAAAAGCTATAGAGTTGTAAAAGTTATCTCTTTATTCTGTAAAAAGAATGAACAAATTAGTGAATTTGTTAGAAAATTCTTAGTAAGAAGCTAAGGTAGTGGATGTAGACTTGGTTGAGAAGTCGAACCATTATAAATTCTTGTGCCAATTGTCTATCTTTTTAATTTCCTTACTCCCTAAACTCAAAAATCAATTCAACCCCTCTTGACAAATCATTCGGTTGTTCATTTGAGTTTCATCGATAATCCCAACATATTGTTCATTTAAGTTGAGAGCAAATTAGGGAAATCGTAAACTACAATAAAATTGAACTTTAAAAAACAATTGATTTTTTTAATGACATGTAAAGGAGGCAATTTAGGCCTTGTCGTGTTTTAGAAATATTGAATTTTAAAACGTTGTCAATATTTTATAACGTTCAAGATTATTATCATTTAAAAAGACATCTCTTCACTTTAAAATTAAATATAAAAAGATTATGTTATTCATTAGTGTGATACGACGACTAGTCTATTAGAAATCTACAAACGATATTTTACGTCTTTTTATTATTTTTTAACTGAAACAAACATCATTTATAAATAAATATAATGTAAATATTACTGAGATATATATATATATATATTTACTGTGTCGCTACTTCTACACTTTAAACAGGTCATTTTAGATGGTCTATATTTAAAAAGACTTCTGCGCTTTCATATTTATAGGCATATGTATGTATGTATCCTCGTCGGAGAACCATTTTTAAAGACAGAGGAACGTGGCGGCATAAGTGCTATCATCTCTGCTCGAGAAGGAAGTCATCGTCCTTTTTATCAACATTCTAAAGGCATCGTATTATGTTATGGAGAATGTAATATTTTTTGTTCAACTTAAAGAGTTATACATAGTCAATCTTCACATTTGAGAACCAAGCTGAAACTTTATTTGACCTAGACTATCTAATTGTTTAAAAAAAAAGACGATGGTTATAAGATTTCGGAGCTCAAGACATGTATTATGTGAGAAAGGAGACATAGACCAGAAGATGAACAGAATGTAACTTTGTTTACTAACTGTGAAAGAATGAATTACAAAATATTTAAGTCTTTAACCCATTATAAACCGTACTTATATAGCAGCACTAAATCAAGTTTAACAACTTGATCTAACAAACTAACCAATCTTTAACAAACTCAGTTAATTTAACTAAACCAATATCAACTAATTACATTCTATTATATTATATTTCTAACCTACTAATTCAGGAAAGTGACTGAAGCAATGAGCGGTGTAGAAAATTGAGGAAATTCACTTCGTTTTGATGATCTATGCGGGATAAATGGCCAACTCAATTGTGTGACCGGTAAGTTGTTTTTCTCTGCTCTTTTTCCTATTGAAACATGTTTCTTGTTTTCCTAAGATTGAGGATGTTGTCGACGAATGACATGGCAAAAGGTGCTCCAAAGAAGAAGAAAAAATTCTGAACTAAAGTGGAAAACAAGAGTTAATTGTATATACAATACACGTTAATTTTAACCCGATTCTAAAATCTTGACTAGATCAACTCCGATCTAACATATATTTTTTTAGTTATTGACAACACGCATCCTACATAGGTAAATGCTCAAATAAAAGACCTTTAAGGGTGCGTTTGGTTCACGGAATGTAAGATTAGCAGTGAGAATAAAGGATTACCAGGGAATAGGATTACTGGGAATGTTGTATTTTGTGTTTGGTTGGTTTAACAGAAATATAAGATTATCGTGTTTGGTTAAAAGAATAAAAGATTATTGGAATGTATATTTAACCAAATTGTCCTTATTATATATTCGTTTTTTAACAAGTAGAATTATACTATAATATTACTATAAGATATTTATATTTTTTTAAAAAAATTAAATTCATAAAATTTATATAATTTTTTTACAAAATTAAAAATATAAAAAGGTTTAATGAAAGGGTAAAATTTTATTTTAACCTCTAAACTTCATATAAAATTTTAATTATAGATTTTTTTTTGTAAATCTAAAATAATTTAAGGATAAATTTGTAATTTAACCTTTGTAGAATTTTTATTATTCAATGACAGTAGAATTATATTTTTGAAAAAAAAAATTAAAGACATTTTAGTCCAAAACACCGGTAATTCAATAATACCTAAGGGAAGGGAGGTAATGACATTCCCGGTAATATACCCCAAAAAATCCACTGTTGGTAATCTTAAATTACCGGGAATGAGATTACCGGCTAACCAATCGGGAGAATGTGTTCCCAATGGGAATCCCACATTCTCCTAACCAAACAACCCCTAAAGAGAATAACATTAACTTTTACTGCTAGACCACTCAATGAATTGTCCAATTGGACCTCATCTAACTTGATTTAACCTAAAAAATCAATAATCAGAAGTCTAATATAAACTTAAAATGACCCAAGTAACATGAAACAATCCAAACCACGAGTGAACAAAATCCAAACTAAAATCAACCCGAACCGAAATATGACCCAATCCAGATTGACTTAGCCCAAAACAAACTTGACCCGTTCAATTGACACGTCATGAATTATTCATTTAAGAGGAATAATACACAGTAATGAATACAAAATTTGGTGACTGTAAATGCTATACAGACTTGAAACATTATAACAGTATGCAATGTTGACAGAAAAACTACAGATAATTAGTATTTTTCTATTTCTACTTACTCCGTGGGCGAGATTGACTAGACGCTTTCCCGCTGACCCCTGATATCTGTTTCAGGTTGGTAAGAGCATCTTGGGCGTGTCTTTTTGCATTAGCATTTCCGTGCTTAAACGCTTCTACCAAAGCCCTAACCAGTTCTTGATTGAGTGAGTACTTATGGGCAGGGCCATCCACTCGAAGTGCCCTCTCTATCATCCAAAGTGCCCTCTCTTGAAGAACCCCGGGACGAACTTCCGTAAAAAGTTCGATGACAGCCAAAATTACGTCCTGCTTCTCTAGCTCATCCACGGCTCTCTTGTAACCGTTAGACATATCAGACACGAGAGTTGAGAGTGCCTCAATTGCAGCAATTTGAACAAAGGTATCTTCGTCGTGGAGAAGGTCGACCAATGGTCTGATACAATTTGATTTTAGTAAGCACAGTTGACTATTGTTTTCACATGGAGCATTGTGTATGGGACAAGTCGAAGGTTCTGGAGAACCCCTTCTTCCACACATGAAAACCAAGGAAGCACAGAAGCCTTGGGGTGGTGGTGGTTCCAAGTCTGCCACTGCAAATGATCTTCCAGCTTCAGACAAGTTCTTCAATCCGATAGCAGCGAGCTGTCTAACTCTGGGTTTTGCAGGAAAACTGAACTGCTCACAGAAAATGGTCATTAGTTGATGCTCCTTGATCACACTAACATTCTCTTGATGAATGTGCCTTGTAAAGTGGAGTAATAGGCCCAATAGTCCTTCTGCCATGCGTGATGTAGGTCGGGATGTTCTTCCATTTGAGATACGCTGCTTCTTTTCAAGAGTCATTACTGTCCATTTAACAAAGCTTGCCTCCATGATTGTTTTGACCTCATCTTCTGAGAGTGGAATATTAGCAAGTATGCATGCAGCCTCAGATTTCTCACTTTCTGTTGACTCATTGTCCAGTAATTTCTCCTTGAAAAGGGAAAGCTTGCCAGATTGTTTTAGCTCTTGCGCTATATCATGACCAAACCTTTCTGCAAGTAATCTTGTAAGCTTAAAAGCATAATTTCGGTGTTCAACCTCTGGGTATTGAAGAAACATAATGATTGTTTTGATGCCATCCCCAGTATTTTGTATATGCAAGGCTACAGATTCTGCAAGATCCAACATATTTGCATTAAGAAAAAACACACACCATAAAATAGCTGGACACCTTAAGCAAATCTATGTACATGAAGTCAAAATTCCAGAGATTCTTTATAAGCAAAAAGATAATGGTGTCATGTTGTCACAGAGATGATCGTTTCCCAAGAGGTAACTCGACAAAAGATTACCTGCTGCTTGTGGTGAGCTAGCCATTCCACATAGGATGCGAAGAATAGAAGCTTGACAATGGGAAGATGCAGCGAAAAGAAGTCTAATAAGATTAAATACTACTGATTCTGACTGCATTAAATTCCCTTTCCTGTCTATTGAAGCCAATTCCCAGCGCCCATGATTTGATACTATTTTTGCAATTATTGATGCTGCAAGTTCTTTCCACTCTGGTGAAGCAACTTCATCTTGCAAGAGAACAGCCACTAATGCAGGAAGAACAGCACAATCGAGAAGAATGGTTACATTTTCATCCAACCCTGACAGGTTATTTAATGCTTGTAAGCTCGATGTTCTTCCTTCTGGCTTAGATAACATTTCAACTAGTGATTGAGCACATTGCCTGGCAATTTGTTCCTTACTGTTACTTGTCAAGGTCATTCTACCAATAATGGATGCCATCTCTATTTTAATATCATCAGGCCCTGTTCAAAATAAAAGAGCATCTTCAAAATTGCATACCGTCAAGAATTCTCTAGAATTAAAATGATAGAAAGAAAGCTTCCACGTTTTCTCCAGAGCTCTTGTTACTTCACATATTTTATATCCCCGTTCCAATATCTTTTGGATGACAAACATGAAATGATTTACCTTCACGCAGTCGACTGAGTAAGGGTTCAAATCTTCCTGCAGCTGCTAAATGCTGAATACTATCTTCAGCTCCCTCTATTCGTGTCAAAATTTCCTCAGCCAAATTGGCTAGTGCAGGATGCTCCAAATTTCCTGCCATGCTTGAGAGAAGAACTAATGCCCCTTTCTCTGATGCAATTCTCGTACAGTATGATTCATCACTAGAGAACTCTAGTAATAACTTCACAGCATACTCCTTCTCTTTCTCTGAGCTTCCAATAAGACTATGTATGGCCAACCTAGTGATGCCCTCATCAAGCATTATTTGCTACAAATAGTTCGACAAAATATCAGTCAGTCAGAGACAAGACTCCATAATCATCATAGAACTTTATTTTTCTTCAGCACCGTATCTTACATTGTAATGAATAAGCATAAAACCATTATAACAAAACGTCAAGCGGATTTTCTACTTTCTTTTTTATTTTGAGAGAAACGGAAACAAAATTTTAGCTTGGAGATCCCAGAGCGAGATAAAGTAAAACATTTAGAAATTCAACACAGGAAGACGTGACTACTTCAATATTACTTCAACTACTTGGATACTACATGCATCGTCTTTGTTTACAAGAGAAATAAGCCCATGTACTTTACAAAAGACACAAGTCAATCCAAGCATACAAGCTATTCAGCGTCTAACTTAAATGGAAAAAAGGAAAGCTTAATGCAACCAAAATTCCAACTTTTTGCCTATCACATTCTTGTTTCTACTCTCACAATAGGTAGCAAAAAAAGTATGCAAGTAAGTTATGAAATACTAACCTTGCTCTCTTCATCCTTTGCCATGCTAAGCAAAGCCATAAGCGCTTTACCTCTCAAAACAGTCCCAATACTATTTGAACAATTCTTTAGCAACTTAACAATCATCACAACAACCCCAGCATTCCGAACTCGAAACCTATTCAAAGGATGCTCCTCTGATATCTTATAAACCACATCCAATACCCTCTCAACACCTTCGACATCCACGCTCTCCTTGCTCAGCTGCTCCACCGCGCCCTTCATCTGAATCTCAATATTCCTATTAACCCACTCCTCAATAGCACCCGCCAAACCGATATTCAGTTTCAGCTCCAAGGACTTCAAAACCTGACCCGTTACTGGACAAGTTGGATCTCTTCCATCATCCAAGCACCTCTCAAACCAATACTCAATTGCGGTTCGTTCATAAGTCTGTGATGACTCTAACACAACAGGTTCCTTCATAACTTCCTTAGTTAACGGACACAAAAAATTCTTAAATGGTGAAATGTGAGTTTCTTCTTCAAAATCACGGTCAACGCATAAGGTTGACATTCCTGGAACTACTGACCAATTATCTAAAATCTTTTCCAATGAAACTAAAATCCGCCTAGCGGAAACGGAAGTTGAGTTTGTTAAATCAGTTTTTAACAACTTAACTTGATTTATTAACTCACTGTAATTGTCGGAATCAATACCTAAACATCTCGCTAAATCCATTATAATCGCGCTTTGAACTGCTTTACTTGTTTGCCTTCCTTCTCCTTCTCTTTGTAGCGTACGGTGAACTCTCTCTTCATTTTCAGTAACCTAAAATGAAAAGGAAACAAAATTTTCAAATTAAAGAAAATATATAATATGGAGGAAAATAGAAGTTTTATGATGAGATATTTATACGGTGAAATGAGACTGTTTCATGTCAAGGGAAAGATCGGAGATTTTTTTGTGGAGATCGGGGAGGTCATCTGAGAGGGAAGATTCGATCAACGCAAGCCAGCAACCGATGGCGGAGGAGTGTTGTTGGAGAGAAGAAGATAGAGATTTGCAGTTGATGAGGACGAAGATCTTGCTTCGCTGGCGGTAAGACGACACCGTTTCGACGGCTTTGGAAAGATCTGAGGCGATTCCTTTGAGAGCTGTTTGAAGAGCCGGCGGGAGAGAATCCGAGTCGAGGAAGTGGTGATGGTTGAGAACGAATTGGAGCCTGGAAGCGAATGCCGTGAACCGGCGGGGACTGTCAAAGGAGTCGGAGGAGTAGGAAGTGAGTACCGAGAGGGAACGGTGGATGGACTCCGCAGCGGCGGATGCCGTAGAAGGTGGCGGTGGTGACGTCATTCACGGCAAGCTAGACATTGAAGCAATCAAGAAATTGGTATTAGGTGGAAGATTTGCATTTACAAACAAAAAACTATTGTTTGGCCTTTGCTAAGCTAAAACTTAAAGGCTGAAGCTTTTGTCTTGAAGTAAAGCCATTTTCCAAAAGGACTTTTATTCTGAAAGAGATTAGTCAAGGTTTGACTTTGGCAAACCCAGACTTTCCTTTACCACCGTTCAACTATGCTACTCCATTATCGTTTCCTTTGTTAAAAAGTTTAGCTTCCTTTATCGTTCCCTCTATTCAAAAAATAAAATAAAATTTACTATGAAACATTATTGTAAAATGATAATTTTAAAAAATAAATATTATTTTTAATTAATCATTATTATCCGATTTATTAAGTGAATAATCTAGATTAGATATTACAGAGATGAGCGACCTATCAACCTAATTTGATCCATTAGCAAACGCTAGGATCGAATCCTGACATTGCTTAAGAAGTATAGTGTTTTATCCCACTATGTCAACTAATTATTGATAAATAAATATTATTTTAAACATAATAATATAATTTAAGTAATATATATTTAAATAACATTCAAATTCTATAATATTATAATATATAAAATATATCAATTTAAATCATAAAAATATATTTTATTTATTTAAAATATTTAATATAATAAAATATAACATTTTTAAATCTATAAATAAATTATTTATTATATAATTATGTCTTAATAATAATTAAAAAAATTTACAACTTATAAAAAAAATATTTTTAAAATTAAAATTTTGACTAAAACACTTTTTAAACACAAAACTATAGCTTTTAACTTTTGCATTCAAATTAAAAAATATTTTTTCTTTACAAATTATTTATTTAATATTAATTTTAACTCTAAAAATATTTTAAATTAAAAATAATTTCTAAAATGAAATACTGAACAGACCTAAATCGACCACTCATATAAGGGTACTAAATCCAAAGAGAATCCGAAAACCGTCCTTTGACCATTTCTATCCCTAAAAATATGATTTCCAGTCCTTCATTTTTTTTGGGGTTAATTTTATTAAATAATTTTACGTAAAATATATTCGAAGTGACATATACACTAACGATTTCTGCACAGTTTGATAAAGTTTTTACAATTAAAAATAAAAAAATAGAAGTCATATTTTATTTAAAAAAATGCCATGTCAAAGTCTTTAAAAAAGTTAACCAAAACTTTTACCCCAAAAAAATAACAAAATTAACCAAAACAGTCACAGAAAAATAGAGAAACAGATTAAAATGATTAAATTACAGTAAGTGAATTAAATTTATACAAAAATACATGGTAAATAGGGTAAATTACTCTAATATAGTAATTCTAAATCTAATCCTATTCTATCTAGTGGAAGAGAAGTGAGACTCTAGGAGTAGGAAGTGGAATGCTCATAATCTCTCTACAACTCATAACCTAAGGAGATATAAGGGATAAAATAGACAGCTTGATCGACATTCTAAATGTGCTTGTTTGAAAAAATATTGAAAAAAAATAGATATTTAAGAATGATAGCTGATTATGGGAAAATTTTAAAATTAAAAAAATAAATAATATTTTAAAATATTATATATAATCCAAAACAATTATCATAAATTTAATTTAATTAGTAAAATAAAATATATTATTATCATTATATTTTAAAATAAGAATTTAAATAAATCATTACTAATTAATAAAATTGAATTTATAATTAAATTATCTCATTCAACTGAAATTTGTATATAAAAGGGATAGATTAGAAACCCCACCTAAAAACTAGTTCTGATCTAAAAAGTAAAAGTGGAAAGTGTTAGTAATTTCGTTGCTTATTAACTTCCAATCTTCGCTTTACTCTCAACAATTTCATTGGCTTTCGCGTCAGCGCCATGGATCGAGCCCAGCTACTCCTCGTAGGATTACCTCTCTTCCTCTTCGTCACCGATCTCTTCGGCCTATTTGCTCCTCCGCCGCCGAAACCACCGTCACACCACCATCATACCCACCGACCCAAAACTCCACTCAATCCTGAAACCCTAGATATCCCTTTGCAGGTAAGTTTAATAATTCCTCAATTATTTTAATTTAAATTCTCATTCAATTTATCTATTTCATTTTTCTTTCGAAGAAACCCAGCACCATTGGAGGAATAGGCTATGGCAGCACGGTGAATATCAATTTCTGCGCTTCGTGCTCTTACAGGTTTTACTTGATTTTCACTTTTTTTACTTTCTTTTTCTTTGGTTAGTCGATATTGTTGTTGGAGGAATTAAAAAATTAAGTAATCGATGAAAATTTGCAGGGGAACTGCCGTGACAACGAAGAAGATGTTAGATACACAGTTTCCTGGAATTGATGTAATCCTTGAGAACTATCCACCACCTTTGCCAAAGCGGTTGCTTTCCAAAGTGGTTACAGTTTTCCAGTTTGGAGTTATAGGGATTATAATGGCGGGTGAACAGATATTTCCTATGATTGGGATTATGACACCACCGCCATGGTATTATTCCTTGCGAGCAAATAGGTTTGGGTCCATTGCGACCGCTTGGCTTCTTGGCAATGTAGTGCAGTCTTTTCTGCAAAGCTCCGGTGCTTTTGAGGTTTACTGCAATGGTGAATTGGTTAGTGACCTTTCTGCTATTTATATGTTTAATGTTCTGAGCATTTTAGATACCAGAATTCAATTTCTTAATGCTTTATGATTGATGGTGTTTTCTTAGCTGGTTAGAAAACCAGAATATCAATCTCTGATTGTTTTGTTTGAAAACCCGAGTCGAATCTCGACTTAATTATCTTCTTTACATTTTAAACTGCAGGAATTAATGTTTCGAGGTTCTTCTTCTTTCCCTTTCTGAAATTATAGGTTTTCTCTAAGCTGAAGGAGGGAAGGTTTCCGGGAGAGATCGAGTTAAAAGATCTTGTTGGCAAAACATTGGCTAATTCAAGAGTGACTGACAACCTTGGAGTAGTGTGGTCTTAGCTCAGTGGCTGGACTGTAACTGTTTTATTGAAAGCACTCAACCTTAACGGTACAAGGTTTGAGTTTCTCTTTGGTTTTTACTTAGATTGCTGTAGTGAAAACATACAAAAGACACCAGCTCAGGTTTTATGTCACTCATGTATTTGAACTTTTTGTTGCAGTTATGGAAGCCGCTTTATTCTAAAAAAATATTATCAGCTGAGAATCTCAATACTTGAAATTTTCCCAGTTTGACAAAATTTTATTAAAGTATTTTGTTGACATAAAAATTCAATAGTATTATTTATGGAATAGAATGCAAGTATATGGATAACCCGAATAAAGTTAACTCTCTTAGAAAGTTAGAACCTATAATCTGCTTTTGTCACAACCAAACACAAAAGCTGTAACCAGTTAATAGCCACATAGATTCTGTTCCTCCAGCAAACGACCCGTGTTAGATATGTTGAACACCATATGAAGAAGCTGATGAATCCTGCTAGAGATACTCCTTTTGCCTCTTACAAAATCAATCATAGATGCCTCACAAATCACCCAAACTAGTAGCTCTCAAACATGAAATGAATAAATAAATAAATCACCTTACCCTGTCTTAGGTCAACAAGGGCCTTGAATCTGCCAACAGTTGCCGTGCTTCCTAGATTTCGGTACTCGAATAGATCCCCAAAGGTCTAATGCCTTGGCACTATTAGCATGTCCACCATCTTTACCAATTTTGTTTAAAAGGTTTGCGAGATGCTTTCTTGTTGCTCAACTATTTATGAAACATTAGCACCATAGTTTTTGAAGTCACAAATCCAAGTAGTGTAAATAGAACTACACCATCTGGACTGTAAATCTAGTAAGGAAAGTTCCACCATAGTGCTTTTGAGTTTTGACTTACATTAGTAAATACATATCTTTGTATTGTATTGTGTTGTACCCTTGTTTCGGATGTAAAAAGTAGTTTAAATGAACATCATTGGGCAAAATGAGAATATCACTAAACCCTACAATTTATGCAGTTAGTGTCGGGTACTTTGTTTACTTGATTGTTTGACATCTCAAGAAGCCTTTCAATTACATATCATTCGTGTGCATAACAAGCCAAATTACTGTAGTTGGTAGGCCTACCAATGATTGATGCAAGAAAAGGATGCAACAGGTTGTTATATATTTCAATCGATGCAAATGATAGATATGGATATAAAAATTCTATGCAAGTAAGAAAGACATTTATTGGTTCAGGAATTTGACCGAATGATTTGAGTGCATGGACCATTTCACCATATTTAACCTTACAACCAAAGGAAATTACTTTCACCAGATGTCTATACCGTGGCAGCGTATTATTCTACCACTAGACTTGTGGTTGATGGTTGGGAGAAAACTATATAAACTGTGTTTGTTAAAATAAAATCAATGTGGCATCATTTCACTCTTCCTTTTTAAATGTGTGTTGTTTTTGCATAAATCACACTTAGATATGCAAAGATCGATTTTATTGAAGAAAATTCAAATTGATATGATTTATAAGAAGGATCTTTGTAAAGTCAGAGTAGATATTTTTGGATCATTTAAGAGTTGTTAAATATATAATGATAATGTAAGTCTTCTTTATTAACGTTAAGTTTGAGTTTATTCTTCTTTCGGTTGTAGATATTGATTTGTAGTAGCTTATTGTTTCTTTTGGATTTAATACACATAGTTTATCTTAAAAAAAATCGTATGTCAACGAGTGTTGGTATAAGTAGTTGGGATTTAGGAATTTGAGCTTGTAAGGTTAATTTTGAATCTTACCACCATCACTCTTGGTGGATAATCCGTAAATTTTTATGTAATTCTCAATTGAATTTTAACTATGTTCTGGTCCTGGATTAGGGGAGATATCTCTAACCTAAACTTTAGAAAACCAAGAAAAATCATATATAATATTTTAGTAATTTATTATTTTTTCTCTCTAAAAATAATCTTAAATTCTAATTTATGGACCGCTTAGTTATCTATCGTATCATTTTTCTCCTCTTTCTTCCTCTCCAACATTCATTTTCTTCCCACCAAATGTTACTTAATATAACTTTGATTTTAAACTTAAATTA